TGTGTTATCACCAACCAGTTATTTACTCATTGCTATCTATTGTGCTTTATGTGTGAAAACTGTCTGCTGTGCTTTACCTAAACATCAGTGACTGCGCTTCAAAGGTAATTGATTAGCTGTGAAGCACATTGGAACATACTAAAGATAGGAATGATACAAGCATAGCTATTGAAGACACTGGCTGAAGTTGTTTTCTTTAGAGCAGAGAAGTTTGAGAGTGGATCTGATTGAGGTGTACAAAATTCTGAGACGCATGCGCAGGGTAGATAGTAGAAAACATTTCCCTTTTGTAGAGGGCTCAATAACCAGGGGCGCAGTCTTAAAGAGCAGGAGGTTAGTGGGAATTTGAGGAAAAGGTTTTCCATCCATAGAGTTGCAGGTGTGTGGCATAGAGGAACATTTATACAGGAGCCTGACAGATTGATATTTGATAAAATTGGGAAGAATCTGAAGATGAAAGAAGAAACATACCAAGTATTTCTGCACACAAAGTGGATTTTCCTTGTTATTTAAAAACTTCCAATAATCTTAAATCATAAACACCCATTTACAATATCACAGTTCATGTAATACCTGGATTAACATGAGAAAACAATTGAGTGATGATTTGCTCATTCAATGTTGATTCTCTTATTTTGACATCGGAATTTAGCACTATTAATTTCTAGTGAGATAATGGTATTGTCAGTGCACTAGTCATCTAGAATCCAAGCTAATGTTCTGAAGACATGTTTTGAAACCCACCATTACAGATGGCAGTATTCAAATTCAATGAAGAAAATCTGAAATAAAAAGCTATACTAATAGTGACCAAGTAATCACTGTCAATTATCATAAAAACCCATTTGGTTCACAAATGTTCTTTAAAGAAGGAAATCTACCATCCTTACCCAGCCTGGCCTACAAGTGACTGCAGACTCACAGCAGTGTGATTGATTTTTAACTTCCCTCTGGGCAATTAGGGATGAGTAATAAATACCTAGCCACGGATACCCATGTCCCCTAAATGAATAGAAAAAAGGATACCATCTCCCTCTTTAAAATTTAATATCAGATCATATTTAACAAAAATATCAGCCAAGATTTTCCCTCATCGATTTGGAATTCAATCAGTAAGTGTTTCTCTGTGGGTTCAAGAAAAATGTACCATTATAAACCATCTTTCATGGTCTTAGATTGTCTCAGAATGCTTTACTGATAATTATTATTTATGTGTAATTACCGTGATAATGTAAAAACTGTGGCCAGTAATTTTCACTCAGCAAGATACCACAAAATAATAACCAAAGAATCTGGTTTTGTGATGTTGGTGCAGGGATAAATGTTGGCCACAACACTGTGGAACATGCCTCCCTTCTCCTGTATAAGTAACCGAACAGGGCAGATGGTGCATTGTTTTAATATCTTTTCCAGGAGAAAGTTGGGGGTGGGAGGGAAGAGGAGGGTGGGGTGTGGGTGGGGGGTGGTGGTGGTGGCGGTGGCGGTGGTGGTGGCAGGGTTTGGGGAGGCTTGAGAGATCGAGGTAATGGAGCCATGGATCCGTGCCATTAAACATGGTTCTGAGGAGATTTTAACATCCAGGTAGAATCCAGGGGAAGAAATCCGGTGATCTTCAAAAAGATTCCTATATTCTCAATGGTACACACCTCAAAAAATAGAAATGATTTTCAACTGTCAGCAGCAAGGCAGATGGAGCCTTGTTCTAACATCTTATCCAAAGCATATCAGTTTGTCCAGGCCAGAACTCCTTCATGTAAAGACGATATCTTTTTAGTTTTCTGCATTTTTGATTCTGAATTGAAATGGGAAAAGGACTGCTTTAAAAACCAAGGATTGGTGCATTTTTTAAAAACAAGTTACCTGATACTCACTGCAAGTGCTATTTTCACAGCCATTTGTTCAAACAGTAGGGCAAGTCTGGTTGCAGTTGAGCTGGAGCCAAGCCATTTGTACAAATGGATCTTCAGCTAGTAACAAGTAGCTGTGATATGGTTATTCGATTTCTAGTTATTTGATGACAGAGCCTTTGTCTGCCAACAACAATATGATTGGCTCTGAGGTGGCTGAACAGCTTGAAGGTATGAAAGTTTAAGGGAGAGGCCATCAGACCTTTGACAATGTTGGAACAGTTCATTTTTTGCACAATAGAAAACACTTCGAGCCTGAAGAAAATCAGGTTTTATTTCCTCTCAGCAGTTACTGGAAGCTGTGGTTTTTAACCAGTAAGTTAGAGAATTTATAAGTGTGAACCTGCTACCCTGTGCTTCCTGCAAACAAGTGAAAGTAGTTGGGCAAGGAAGTTAAAGGAACAGCTCCCTGACTAGCCGAAAAGATCATCTCGGTGAACCCTGAGGACAGGGACCAATGAACTGACTTTCCACACTTTCCCTCCACCCGTAACACCCATGTTTTTGTTTGTCTGCATCTGTTTGTATGTGTGTGAAGGAGGAGTTTATAAAAGGGTTAGTTTTTTAACAATTCGAATTACATGTTGATGGGTCATAATTGTTTTCCTGCAGTTAGAATCTATTTATTTAAAATAAAAATGAATTCTTGTTAGGTACAGAAGCCTGGTCCATGTGTTCAATAACCTTAGTTTAAAAGAAGAATAAATTGGGGGAACACTGTGAATTTCTTAAAAATCTAATTTTTGATGCAACTCCAGGAATAGCGGGGCTTGATTTCTAGCATTCTATACCAGTGAGGCGTAACATAAAGCATTGTATTAAAGTGCCTGAATTTCTGGAGTGAAACTTGAACCCATACCCTCCTTCATGCGGTTGACAGCTAACGTGGTCTTTTCTCTTTATCCTTGTCTTTGTTGTCACAGTTGTCCAGATTACACAGCTCATGCATAAGTTTCTTGGCCACAATGCTTTCTCCATTTAGATGAAATTCTCCATGTTTCATTTAAAACTTTTATTTTTTGATTTTCCCTTTGATAGATAGGTGAGTTTCAATTTCCTTAGCTATTGAATATAGTCTAGTTTTATATTTTAAAAGTGTCAACCAATTCCCTACTTCTGTTTGTACCATAAAGTAAGAAATTATATAGTTCCACCCCAGTCATGGAAGAATTTTAGTTAAAAGTTAGCTCTTTCTGCATGCACAGTTGCTAATCTTTGCTCTACAGAACGTATGTATTCTGTCGTAAGTTACTTAATGTTTCCTTGACCATAAGGTTACGATTTCTCAATCCCTCTGACTGCCTTGAAACCTTTCTTTTTCTTGATAGAGATAGAGGTGGTGACAAAGACTGACTTTCAGCCATCTTTCAACACTATAATCAGTCTCGGTCTATCTAGTTGCCAATCAGTTTTACAACTTTGAGTGAGCACTCCCTGTCATCCATGTGTCCAGATATGTCAACAAAAAGGCCATTTTAACATTGGTGGTTCCTCCTGTCTTTGCAAATTTCTCACTTAAAATGTTTATTCAATTATCTCTTGACACACCTGATTGAACATCCAATGCTGGTGGAACCATGGGTAGGGGACATATACATTGATACTGATTAGGCTGAAATAGGATGGGTTATGGATTTGGCTTGATATCTAACAGTTTTACACAGTACCATTGGACAGATATTTCACAGGTTTGTTCTATTGTTTATTTGCCTTGCATCAGGAAATCAAGTTAGTTGATTTGATTCAATGATGAGGCAATTATTAGACAGTCCATGATAAGTCACATGGTCATTCTCAATCTTTCTTACATTATTATGATTGGTTTCAGGTTTAATAACCTACAATAGTGTTAACATACTGTGAAATCCCGAAGCACATTTTCAATAAAGCATTCAAAGTACTGTGCTATGGAGATTAAATTCCTGCTCAACCCCATGTTTCCAATCATAGTCACAATATTACTCTTCTGGTCGCCTCATTATAGGAAGGATGTGGAAGCTATAGAGAGGGTGCGGAGGAGATTTACCAGGATGCTGCCTGGACTGGAGGGCAGATCTTATGAAGAAAGTTTGAGGGAGCTAGGGCTTTTCTCATTGGAGTGAAGAAGGATGAGAGGTGACTTAATAAGAGGTGTACAAGATGATGAGAGACATAGAGTGGATAGCCAGAGACTTTATCCTAGGGCGGAAATGACTATTACGAGGTGGCATAATTTTAAGGTGATTGGAGGAAGGTATAGGGGAGATGTAAGAGGTAGGTTCTTTACACAGAGAGTGGTGGGTGCGTGGAATGTGCTGCTGGTGGTGTTAGTGGAGTCAGATACATTAGGGACATTTAAGCGACTCTTGGATAGGCATATGGATGACAGTAAAATGTGGGGTATACAAGGTAGTTTGATCTTACAGTAGGTTAATAGGTCGGCACAACATCATGGACCAAAGGGCCTGTACTGTGCTGTACTGTTCTATGTTCTATGTACTACAGACTATTCTTAGCAGGGACAATAGGCTTTTCCAAATAGAGAGAGAAAATAGATGCAGTGCCTCCTCAATTCACTTGCATGATTGTTTTGGAGTATAGTTCAAAGAAGCAAGCAACTAGGTAGGGGAGAAATGCCTATAATTTGCTGATATCCACATGCAGAAATGTTTGGGAATGATACCACTATCATACATTGTGATACAGTTTAAAATTTGTAATCTCTACATGGTGGTGCGTTACAGGGACTCTGCAGGCTTTGGAGGGAAGCATTAAACAGAGGCTAGGCACTTCTACACAACAGCTCGAACTTTGATTTGCAGATCTCTTCAGGTATAAAGCCATGTGATTCTCAGAAGTTATCTTTAGAATGACTTTGGCAGAAATCTTGAGAGAAAACCTGTAGTCTCAGAGCATTTTTGTCCTTTGTATATCCAGCTGATTGGCTGATGCAGCTGAAGTATCTTTTTTTTTGGCTTAGCCAAATATTGTACAGTCAGAGTGGCTGGTGGGATGCCAAGAGGCCTTTCATGTAACAGTAAAGATTCTTTGCAAATTTCAAAGACGTATGTTAATTTAACATTTGCTTTGCTGTACATGTATTCTATTTTTCAGATCCACTCGTGACAGTGAAGATGAAGATGAGGAAGAGCGAAGCAAAACACGAGGCTGCACTCTGCAGTACCAACATGCACTAGTGCGTGTGTTCACACAATTCCATACAACGTCCTCAGAGGGCACTGATCAGGTGATCACCATGTTAGGATCTGACTGGTCAGTGGATGTCACTGATCTAGTCAGCGACTTCATGAGAGTGGCAGATACAAGAATTGCACAGATCATGGAGGGCAATGTGCTGAGTGGACGTGAACCCGGAACAACTATGTTCAAGGTTAGTTTTTCATTTCAGAATTGTGTACCTGCACATTTTCTTTGATACTTTAGAGATGATAGTTTAGTGTCCAGAGGAGACTGAATTTACTTATTTGACATGTATAAAACCTGTAAACTCAAACTTGCAAAATATATCTAATACTCTAAAATGCATGATATGAGTCAGTTGTTTAGTTAGAATATCATAGTATAGTGATAGTCCAGACTATGCTGTTCTAATATATTCAACTGTCATAGCCTCCACAGTTCTCACGAGTGTTTTCTATTAGTGAGGAATTTATTGAAGTTGGTAGGTAGTTATAAATTACAACCCCTCTCGAAAAATCAGAAGGAAATGACTGGCTTTCTATGCTTGAATATTTTTAAAGTGCATCACTCCATATGCACAGTATGATAACTGAATTGCTCTGATATGTCTCAAAACACAACAAAGAACTATAATTAGATAGATAAACATATAGATAAATAGATAGAAAAACAGAAGATTTTTAAAGTTCTGAAGAAGGGTTACTGGACTTGAAATATTAACTCTTTTCTCTTCACAGATACTGCCTGACCTACTGAGTTTTTCTAGAAGTTTCTGTTTGAAGTGTTTTTTCAAAAAATGCCTAAGTCAGTCCAGCCTTTAAAGATAAACTTGGTATAGTTTGTCATCCTCTTTTATTTATTCTGTTCATTAGGGCATTACTAATAAATCTGATACTTATTGCTTCTCACCCATTGTTCTTGAAAATAAATGACTTTCTTAGCCACTTCATCAGGCTGTTAATTGCCGACTCATTTGGCATAGGACTGGAGTCATGTATTAGCAAGAATGTATAAGCATGATAGGCTTCTTCTCTAAATTGCATTATTGAAGAGGTTGGATTTATAGAGTTTCATGGTCACTTTACCAGTGTATTTTGTTTCTACTGATATTTTTAAAATGATAACATTCTCAAATTCCATTCCTATCATGAAAATTTATGTTCAAAATAGCCACTAGATTTAGAATTAGATTTTATTATCATGTGTACTCAAATACAGGAATACAGTGAAAAGTGTCTAATGTCACCACACGTGCTGCCATCTTAGGTACAAAGGTACCTAGGTACAAACAACTCAGGAACAAAGTAGTAAAAGAAACAAAGTTAAAAAGTTAAGCATTACAGACCTTCATAGAATAAGCAGATAAACAAAGAAATAAAGTAATAGTTAACAATAAAGTCCTTCTTAATATAAACTAGAAAAATAAAGGAATATAAAGTTAAAAGTACTACACCACTATATTCCTGATTTTTCGGTCCAATAGCACAATAAATTTAGGAGTAAATTATTACTGTGTAAACTCTTAAAAGTCTAATGTTAATTTATGTCCATTTGTATTTGGATGTTATTATTAATTGGGGATTTACCTGTGCTTATGTATAGAGGAGCAGAAAGGAAGGGGGATTATTGGTCAGAGATGCGCCATTTACAATCTGTTCTCTTGTTCCTATCAGATGAGGTAGGGTAAGTTGGTACCGCTCTTTTTATTGCCACTCTGGGTCTGTCACGACCAATATGTTCAGTTTTTTCAGCTTGCACCAACACACTTCATTTAAAACATAGTACTAGTCAAATTAAGGAGCCAATTCCAAAGCTTTCTTGAGTGAAGGAAAGAATTTTATCATCTACGAATCCTGAGGAAAAAATAATATAACATGACAAACTTGTACCCCAAACACATATGTGTAATAAGGAGAAATGATCCAATACAGACAAAAAAAATGACGAAGTTTAAAAGTCTTTATTGTCCTTAAGGTGTTAGACTTTAACCTGATACCACACTTGTATCCTCAGCAGTTGCAAAAATTGGAGTTACCTTTGAATTTTTAGGCAAGGAACTATTTTTGAGATGAAGTAAGAACAGGGAAAGAGAGATTTTTAACCCATGCTTTTAAAAATCCATCGTTCTTTCTGTTCTGCTGCTCAAAAGCAGCTCCTGAAATATGGTTCAGTCTTTCCAAGCTGAATAGTTTCAAGCGTCCTTGCATGTCCAATGAGAAGGATTTATCACGTAAGTGTGAATTAAAGAAAGAGATGTGAATTTCCTGATGCTGACACAGCTGACTGCATTCAATGTCATTAGATGAAATACCAGTTTCTGTGCAGGTGGTCTGTTATTGCACATTGATTTTCTGGATTTCCTTCGGTCTGTGGTCTGGTGATCACAGCAGAATTTCTCCTTTTCTAAAAATCTACTAATCCATTCGAGTCTGAAGTATAAAAATCAGAGGATGCAAGTTTAAAAAAATGGACAGTCCATATTTACCACTGTTGAAACTCTGACAATAAAAACTTGTATGTAGGCTAACCCGCAGTGTTCCATCTTTCTGTGCTTGGCTGATTTTGAGGATCTATTATATGACATACGTGGATAGCTATGGTGGATTATGTTCAAACAAGTTACTTGTTACGCTCCAGTGATAATTGGATTCTTGTCTCTGATACCAATTGCAAAAGGTCCAAACTGTTTGCTTTCCAAATACAACAACATAATTAGTGAATCAACACTATGAAAATGTGGACCTCAAATCCTATTGTATCATATGCTTCGTACAAAGAACAAAATAGAAAATTATTTTAGTTGCTTAAGATCAATAATGAAAACAAATACAACATATTGCATAGTACTTAGTTCAGTTTCTGCCTGTATCTTCATGAGAGGAATTCGTTTGGCAACTGGTATTTGTCGAACCATTCTACAGTTGTTTCGATTATTTTTCTTCCTTTGCTTGAACAAAGGTGTTAAACTGGCTACTTTTTGAACCCACAGGCATATTTGAAGATTGAAACAATGGGGTGAATCTTGTCAGCTGTTGAATAATGTAGGCAATGCCGAGCCAGCTGGGAAAATAGAGGAGAAAAAGTCCAATTGTTGACCAGGTTTTAAATGACGAAACAAGAATCTTGTTAGTGAGCAGTGAGAGGCCTACTTGCTTGATTTAGCATACCATTAGTACCTCATCTCGCCACATTGACATGCATTTTCCCTATTCTCCCACACTCCAGGTAAAAATTAGACATCAGCAATTCTCATCATGAAAGTCCGCTCAGGTACCTGTTGGCTCCATCTCACCACTCACTCCTCCAGGCCTTCATCATGGACAACAGCACCCAAATTCTCAGGGTGCACTCCATGGGCAGCAATCAGTTATACCCTCCATGCCATCCTCTCCACCGCCCTATCCATGGGAACTTACATCTGACATGTTGCAACCCAACACATCATCATGATGCATCTTTGACTCACTTGGAATACAGTTGTCCACTTTAATTCTGTACTTTGGAGTACACTGACACCATATGTTGTAATCTGCTGCCAGGACACACTACACTCAGAACTCGAACTCACCTCATGGATTGGACCAGGGTGCATCTCAAGCTCGTCACTTGCTTTTAGTGCTCAATCACTTGGCGCTTACTTCGAACCTCACAACATCTCCACTTTGCTTTGCCTCACCTTTTTGCACTATGTTGCCCCAGTCAAAGCTTAAAGGCTCACAGCACTTATGTCTTTCCTCTCCTTTTAGCACAGAGGCATAGCAAGACAACTTGTCATGTTTGTCAGCAACTATCCATCAAGGTTGTGGATGTTATGATTAGAACACCATACTACATTAATGCCATATGTCTCCAGGTTCCAAAAGCTTACCCAGTAACACACTAAATTGGCATCACACAAATGGCTGTGCCTCAAAGTCTAAGTGTCGAAATCTTCAGTCACATCAAGAGAGTAAATTCAGTTGGGTGGTACTGACAAAATACGTCAAGGGTATTGTCCAAAATTAGTTCAGGCATTTTGATTCAATCAACAGGCTTCTTCAGGTGACCATGGTCAGGGAGTCTATACCTTTACAGTCCATAGAGTGCACCAGCCAGTCCTGTAGATCCAATTCAACTAGAATGGGAGAGATACAGAGATAGGACAATGGCCTGCTGACTCCTCTGTCAGGCTGTCTTTACAAGTTGTTCAGAAGTTGACTCATGGTAGTCTAGGGGTCAGTTCACTGAAAGTCAATTGGAATTATGAGGGGCCATAGATATGGTGGGAATGCTGGTGAAGTCACTGCTGGAATTGGAGACAGCATGCATTGGGGATAATAATTGTGTCCGGGCAACTCAAAAGAGTGAGAGTTGATCAAGCAAGGGAGGGTGGGGGATTTGGTAAAGGGCTCATTGACAATTTTCACCATCCTTGCTTCAAAGGGTCCAGTGTATGACTATATTTTACATATTTATCGTATGCCTGTGGCTCAGGGAGTGAGGTTGTTATAGACCAGACCAATCTAACCCCCCTCAAAATATATTAAAAAGATAGCCTACACTCTAACATTTTCTTATTTTAAAAGGCAAGTGCCAAACTTTGTGTTCCAGATGCAGAAGCAGTCATGCAAAGACTAGAACACACCACCCTCCCCCACATTCAACCTAAACTGTGGATCCGGTACGTAGACAACACATTTGTCATTATTAAACACAACAAACTAGAAGAGACCCACCTCCTCATCAACAGTGTATTCACAGGGATTAAATTTACAAGGGAAGAAGAAGACAACAATCAACTTCCGTTTCTGGATGTTAAAGTAGAACAATTAACAATTGGGGAGTTCCAAACCTCAGTATACAGAAAAGCAACCCATACAAGATCAAATCCTAAACTTCCACAGCAGCCACTCCAACGTCCACAAACAAAGCTGCATTAGGACACTATTTAAACAGGGTAGGACACTCTGCAACACTCCAGAACTACATCGAGAAGAGGAAGAACACTTATGCAAGATCCTTGCTTTAAATGGATATCCCCGCAACTTCATCCACAGATGCCTACAAAACAAACAACGGGAGGACACAGTACAACCTTAACACACTGGCCACACTGCCCTACATCAAGAACATATCGGAACTGACAACAAGACTCCGAAGACCACTAGGAATCAATGTGGCCCACAAGCCCACAGCCACTCTACGACAAAC